GCCACTTCTCCGCGGCTGAGGCCTCCTCCTCTTTTCACCCCACCCCCTAGTCCAGCCCCCTCCCGCCTCCTAGTTTTAACCCCTCAGGAGACAGCCCCCCTCAACAACCCCTTCCTGGGCACCTTTAATCCTTTCAGTGCTAGACCGGCTGGAGAACCTCAATTCTCACAGCGTTTGGGAGGCGGAACCCAAGATGTTACAGGTTCAGACCAGCCCTGCCATTGCCCAGGGGTCCAATCAAGGCTGAGTGACCTAGTAACTAACTACTCCCCCGTCTCCCTCAAGCACCATAGCTGCGGGGGGAGGCAGAGAAAGGGGTTGAGGCCTGGGGGGGGAGGCTAGGGCAGTTTCTCCAGTGACTCAGCGAAGGATTCCAACTTTGGGATAGTTAAATTTAGCCCCTGGGCCCTCTGCTTTCTACTTTTTGTTTGGCAGGGGGTGGGGCATGGGTGGCAGAGCATGGGGTGGGGAGGCTCTCAGGAGCCAGAGCCAGGGGTGACCTGCTGGCCAAAGGCTGGGGGAGGTGAGTGGCAGTAAGGCCCTCCCCAGGCAGAGGAGACCCCAAAATAGCTCCTTGGCCCCTGGCCGGGGAGCCACATTCCTGCCCAGGCTGGGATTAGAAACAGAAACATTTCGGGGGGGGAAGTGGGAAGACACCAGTCCTGTAGCTCTACAGAGCCTCCAACAGGGATCGGAGCTTTTCCTTCTAGCATGGATAGGGGTTAGAAACCACAGCCTCTGCCTGACAGTGGGCACCAGGGCCACAGCAGGGCCAGTCCCGAGTACCAAGGACTTGTCCCCAAGTCCTTCAGACTTGAAGCTCAACTTCCAGTGCCCCCTTGATGGTACCTGTGGGAGCTGCCTGGGGGAGGCCCACGGGGCAGCCTTTGCAAGAGTGGAGTTGGACAGTGTGGTGCTTTAAAACAACTTTCAAAACTGAGCACATGGAAGAGGGGCTCCTGGCTGCCCACTCTCCTCTCTAGGGCCCAGCTGCTCCTCATGACCTCCCTCTGGGGCTCCAGCAATTCCAAAGGCTGGGGGTGGGCAGCCTGGCCACTGCTTCCTTTGGTAAAATCCAGGTCCTAGGACAGTGGCCAAGAGCACACACACACTTCCTCCCATCCGCCCACCTCGAACAGAGCCGCCATGCAAACAGGGAACTTTAGTATAAATAAGAGGTCCTGGGGGACAAGGAGGGCCCTGGGGACTTCCATAACTTAACACTTCTCAAAAGCACAGAGGACAGCAAGGGGTGGGATGGAGGAGGGGCTCTGCCCTCACCGTAGGGACGCGTTGCAGAGTTGGGGCTCTGGTGGTAGGGCTTCTCCCCAGGAATGGCCAGTTACATGCTGGGATAGGGATGTGGGTTAACACTGATGTTTCAGAGGAAGGATCACAGTTCTCGGCAATGGGTGGGGACAGGGCTGAGGTCACAGGGGCCGCTACATCCCCCATGTCTGAGCCAGTTTTGGGGACCCCCAACAGTTGTGCAGGCCGGGAGATCGGAGCAGTCCTTCCTTTGTGGTTAGTCTTAATACATTGATCCATGAGGTCAGCAGGATGGGTTATGGCTAGGAGGCTGGAAGCAAGGGGTACAAGACCCCAACATCCACGGTGTCACACCACTGTGCCACTTGGAGAGTTCCCTGGCTGGGAGGAGATGCCCTGGGGAGGACAAGAGGGAGACAGTAGGGATTAGACGCCACCTGCTAGTGCCCAGGGAAGGCGCCAGCTGGAGTCCAGGCCACTCCTACCTTGGGTTTGCCCGTTAGTCCACCCCAGCCCGGAGGCCACTGAGCTAGTCCCCGGAAGCACATCTCGGCTGGTGGCTAGCTTCCCTGTCCCAGCAGTTGGCAGGGTCACACAATAATTACAGTTCTCAGGAGATCCCGGGCAGAGATGGGGAAGGGGAGGGGAAGCTGAGGTCCCCTTCTGACTTGGGGGCGTGGTCCTGAGACGGTGGAAAGGCAAGAACTCAGGGACAATCCTACCTCTACCACTGACTTGCTGGGTGACCTGGACCAACTTCCTTCCCCTGCCTGGGCCTCCGTCTCCTCGTCTGTGAACTATGGAGACAGAGGGGTCTCTTTCAGGACTCAGTCAGGCTCTCCAAACCCCACCACCCGTGCCTCCAAGATAAAACTGTTCTTGGGTTCTAGAATTCAGGAGTCTAAACTCCCAACACGGAAGCCCCAAGGGACTGAGCTGTGGCCCTGATCTGGGATCCTGGGCACCAAGGCCAAACTGGAAGGGGCAGAGACACCCAAGACAACCCTGAGCTTGCTGTGCTTCCCTATGGTGACCTTCTCAACCCCACAGCCACTTGGAGGTGGGTACCCTTCCTGCCCACCTGAAAGGCTCTCTCTGTCCTAAACAGGGTGGGCAGGTCAGAGAGGGGCAGTGCGTTGCCCCGGGCCCACAAAGGCAGCAGACATGCAGGCCTTGAGCCCGGGGGTCTGACTCCCAGCTCCTGCTTTCCACAGTGGACTCAGATCCTGAAAGTCTAAGAGCCATGCTGGAAACTAGGCCCAGGGGCTTAATTCTGCCTCTAAAAATTCCACCATCTGAAATTGGGATTCTCCATAGAAATGGTCTTTGCCTTGAAACCAGAGCTAGGAGCAGACCACATGCAGCCTGTCAGCTGCCCTTCGGGATGCCGGCCTTGGGTCCCCGGCTCTGCTGACTCGGACCCCTGTCCTGCTCACTGCTGGCTGAGGCCAAGTGCACTAAGCCTGAGTGGTCTCGCTCTGGGGCACTAAGATCTCCACCCTTCCCCTCCTCCCGCAGGGCCAGAAGCCAGGACAGTGCCATGCCTGGTCTGCCCGTGCCTCTTCCCAGTCCCGGTCCCGGGGTGGGACTCACTGCCTTGCCGGGCCGGGCCCAGGTGCAGATGAGGCCCTCCTGGCAGGCGGTGATGATGCAGTCCTCCAGGAACAGCAGCACGGTGAGGCGCTCCTGGGCGATCTTCTTGCACACCAGGGGCTCCAGCAGCGGCACCTCGTGGATGCGAGGGCACAGTGCAGTGCCCAGCACCTTGGCAGGGTCCAGGCGGCTGCGGGGAGCAGGGCCGCTGGGCTTGTCGCCACCGCTGCCCCCACTGCCGCCTCGGCTGATGTTGCCCAGGCTGT